CCGGGAAATCGATTTGCGAAGATAAAAAACAATTTAGGCCCATCTTGAAAGTGATATTAGAAAAAAGGATTTTACTTTGATATATCGAAAACAAGAAAGAGATGATACTTTATTGGAAATAATTCAATAATATGGACCAATATGGGAAAAAGCAGGGACCTATGCGAAGTTCTTTTGTCGACTAAAAGTGYGGACATTTCGAAACCAAGACCATGCTAGCAGTTAGATTGAGAGAGATTAAAAACAAAGAATCTACAGTCTTGAATGACTTAATAAATTGATGAAACCTATGCTTGAAACAAGTATGGCTCTGTTGAAGATGACCTTTGATCGATAATTTATCGGAAGTTCGATAATGAAGGTAAAAATATATTTTTGTATACAGTTTTCTGTGATATGTGAAGTTCGAGTAGTCCGGGTTCAAACATCGATTATTGAAACAATGTTGATTATTGTAAGCTTATGTAGACTACTTTTTGACGAGAAGCTTTCAGTTTACTTTTAATCAATTGACCTTTATAGCCTTATAATATTCAACTTCATCCAACGGAACAAAATCTACCGAAGTCAATATTAGTACGAACAAAATTCTCATAAACATACTCTTTATAATATTTGTTCGCATGTCAACAAAACCGTTGTAGCTCACATTCCTCAGAACAGAGCATCTACCTTTGAAACAGCAGTACTAGATAATCATTTTCAGCTTCTATATATATTGCTATTGGAGCTCCGCTATTAGGTGTTACCTAATTTTTATATTACAAATGGAAAGTAAGTGTTTTCTTTGGATAAAATGGTTGTAAACTCAAGCAAGAGTTATGGAAAATATGTACCAGGTTCATCAGTGAACTTGAGTTCTTTGTCCAGTACTCTGACCAGAAATACTCTAAAATGTTCTAATATAAGATGTAGAAAACTCTTACGATTCCTGATTCAACACTTTTTATTCTTCTCTAATAAGGAATAGAAGAGTTCAGTAGATATAAGGTAACAAAACAGAAATAAGTCCGCTTCTAGCAAAGGTTGATATTGTACATAAAACAATATATCAGCAATCTTGAATTAAGTTGTAATATACATGATATTGCAGAAAAAAACGAAGTAAATCTATTTTAATGCTTAGCAAGAAAGCAGTCGTAACTGCTACATTTATCTAATGTATATAAGTGAACATTGCTAAGACGAAGAAGTCCTCTTCTTCACTGAGCTCTTTAAACTTTATCATTATTACTATTATTATAAGGGTTATTATTAATATATGGACACGAATAACATAGGCCGGATTCACTTTAAGTGCTAAATGTTAAAAATAAAAGCCTTTGAATCCTTGTCATTTGTTCTTCATTATTTTCTCTCGTTTCGCCCTTTAGCTTTTTTAGTTTATTTTTCATTTCGCATTTTACATTTCCTTTTCAGAATATCCATTTTTTCTTTCTTCCTTTTTAGTTTTTCATTATCACTCTCTTTGTTCTATTTCCACATAATGCTTCAAAAAAGAAGTACAAGTTGTTTATTTGCACGAATTTATCTAGAATCGATCAAAATGGATTTGACGAATTCTTTGTTTCCTCAAAAGTAGTTTCAGTTCTTTCTATTTTCGATCCCTTAGTCTTGAAGAGACTGTTTAACACACACCTGTATCCATTGCTCGTCATAAGACAGTAATTAGAGATGCGTTGTTGTTCCATAGAATGTGACTAGCCTAATGAAATTAGGGATGTCGTGCAAGATGTCAAATTCGATCAGACAAGCTAACAGTATGAGCAATAATTACCATTTTAAAGTACAAACATCTTCTACTGTTGTACGAATAGTTATAAAARCACCACGAAAACAACCA